TAAAGAAAAGGGTGTCAGTGCCACAGCTTTTCGAAGACCTTCGCGTCGTCAAAGGTCGGCGCGGGCGTTGAAGGAAAGGCCGGCGGTGTCGCATAAGGATTTCGGGGCACATATTGCCTCGGACGCTCCGAGTCAGCTTTGCGTGGAGCGCGGCGCATGCTGAGTGCGAGAGCCGCGAGCTTGCGAGCACTCAGACTTACGGCATTGTCATCATTACCGCTGGGTCCCTGCGCATCAAGGAGACGCACGTAGGTGTCATCAGCAGCCATATGTTCAGAGATATCAAGGAGGGGCTCAAGACTGGCACCAGGTGCGAAGCACTGGTCGAGAGCGACTTGTGCGCCTCGGCTCTGCACAGGGCAGTTATGCGTTGTGCTACTGCGCACACTACCGCCTGCAGCGGTCTGCGGAGTGAGACCACGTGATGGCGCAGTCCCCAACGCGCCCGACCCAGGCGCGTTCTGAAACATGGTCCCTGCGACGCTCTGTTGACCCGAGACGGGGCCAATCGTCGGGAGGTTAGACGGCGGCGATGCGCCCGGGGCACGCGTCCGGGCAAGCATGCTCAGCCCGCCGTCGTGCCCTTGTTGTGGTGACTGACCCTGCTGCGGAATGATGCCCTGCTGTCGCGTTCCTGCCCGAGAGTCATTCGTACCGTAGCCGTAGCCTGAACTGTTGCCTTGCCCTGAGCGCGTGGTACCAAAGCCAATTGAACCGCCAGCTCCCTGCGCACCGCCCTGCGCCCCACGTCCTGGTGCCTGTTGGCTCATCACGAGGCTGGAGGTCTGTTGTTGATGCTGTGATCGCTGCGCCGCTGCAGAAAAAGCAGCTCCAGGCACTGGGGCCGTTGGCTGTTGCTGCTGGGCCCGAAGCCTGTCGGCCATTGCGACACCAGTTTGCTGTTGCTGCGCACTCTGCTGCTTGAGGATGTTTGCGAGCGACTCGGCACCAGACGCCGGCGGAGCAACTTGCTGAGGCGTCGGAACACCGGGCGTTGGCATGCCCTTGCTAGTGGTAGACGCGCCCTTAGCACCTTTGATAGGCGCAGCCGCAGCGGGGACGGGCGCGGGCGCCGCTTTCGCTACTGTCGCACGACCAATCGTTAGTGGCATTGCCGTGGTTGCCTTGGCCTTGTTAGCCTTCTTTTCTTTTTTGGCTTCCTCTTTCGCCTCCTTTTCAGCCTGCTTGTCTTTTTTTTTTTTTTTTTTGTCATCCTTTTCGTCGTCGTCGTCGTCATCTCCCTTCTTCTTCTTCTTCTTCTTTTCGTCTGTATTGGCCGCGGCCGCGGCTGCCGCATCTTCATCTGTGGGGAGGTCGCCCAGATCAAGTGACTCAAAAATATCCATTGTCTCGTCATAGGCGTCCATGAAGTCTGGCTCTTGATTCGCGTCAATATAATATTCCACATCCTCTTTGATCTCATTTATTTGCTCGTGCTGGAGAGCATCGTTATCCAGAAGCCGTGTAATCTGCTCTAGCCGAGCTATGTGCCACCGGTGGCGCTTGATGGATGCCTCGAGCTGTTCAATCTCTTGCTTGTTCCGTTTTGAGCCTTTACCCGATGTGAGCTTTTCCATATCTGCCTCGTGCATGTCGATCTGCAGTGAGAGCTGGTCTACCTTTTCTGAAAGCCAATCGCGCGTGCTATTTTTGGCCGCCTCATGCGGGTCCTAAGACATTTTGAGTTCTACGAAGCTAAACTAGTTCCCCGATGAATTCCTAGACCAGACGGTGGTGGGACTCACGATCTTAGTCTCGCGAGCGAGGCCCTCTTTAGAATAAGTTTTGGTCTTTGTCTCCTTCTCGCAAACCTTAAACTGTTCCATCTTCGTCTCGATGAGCTTTCGCGCCTAGCATTGAGCCACTTCATCTAGGAAGCCATCCCGTGTACAGACACTGTGATGCACGTCAGTCAGCGGACGCTTGTCTTTGATGTCTGACGACGCCACCCATGTCTTGATTTGATCTCGGTGTCGCTGGAGTTTCTTGATTTCCTTTTTCAAGTCAACCTCATACTTCTCCTTCTGGTTCTGTTGAGTCGCCGAATAAACCTTATCCCATATCTCATCGAAGATCTCGACTCCTTCCTCGACTTTCTTCAAAGTCCGATCGATCTCTGTTTGAAGCTTCCTATTCGCGCTCATCTTTGCGCGATACGCTTGCTATCTTGTGCTCAAGCTGAACGGCCTAGCACCACGAACGAGGCAGGGGATCTGCCTCACTAGGTCCAGGAAGACTCGGGTCGGACTCTCCGTCTATTACATGTTAGAATCCGAGTATGCTAGTATGAAGCACCAGCATAGTATAGCATGAGCATAGCCAGTTTAAGGCAGACTTAGCATAGCCAGCATAGGCCAGTATGAGCGTCCCAGCATAGGGAGGATAGCATAGTCCCGAGTTAGGGTAGCATAGCCCAAGGGGCGGAATGTAGGCTCCTTAGGTAGCTGGCTTATCGCCAAGCGCACTTTGATTGTGCTTAATCACACTCGCGTTCTAAGGGCGATATTCGCCGCTTTATCATGGTAGCAGGTGCACTGTGATCGCAACCAAAACCAAAATACACACGGGCGACACCCGCACTACACACACGAAACGCACACGCGAATTTACAAACAAAACCCGCGACGAACAAAGCCCCAACGGCGAGCATGACGACCGAAATAAGGGGAGTTCGGTACGATGGTAATTTCAGAATACCGCAAGGTGGAGTAGCATACCCAAGCAGACCAGGAGGGTCGAGTCTAAGCAAATTTCCGAGCCAGAGATCACCAGATGAATGGTGTCGCAGAAAGATCAAATCGCGCGCATGGAGAAATGGCCAGAGCCATGCTTCTCACTGCACAAAGACATCCACATTGGTGGTATCATGCCACCCAATGTGCCACATATATATCAAACAGGCTGCCTTCCAAGGGAAACCCAATGTCAGCATCTCCAGTGCGGGACGCAACTACAGCAGGGTTAGCTTCGCGCACGCAATAACTGTCCGTCTCGTTGTACACGGGGAGGAGGGCTATGGAGGGCAGTTAGATGCGGGGAAATATGCCATATTGGGCGGAGGTGCGGGGACTAGGTCAGGGAGGCCTCTGCCGCGCCTCCGTCGCGCGCCCGAAAAGATCCCCTAGACCCGGCGCGCGTTGAATTCAACGTGACTTTGTGAAGGCAAAAGTGCGCTGCGACGCGGCGGGGCGAAGTGGAAACTTCTGCTCCGCTTGCGGCGAGTTCGTAACTTGAAGTGCCCTGACATGTGAGCGCAGGTAGTTCAGAGCATCCTCGAATAGGAATTCCTCTCCCCCGGATGCAAGGCGCGCGCTTCGCGGCCTTGCATTCATCGCGTCGCCTACCTGCTGGCGAGAGACAGAGGAAGCGGAGCGGGTGAGGTCTGAAGTCTGTATCTGATCGTACTTGCTCTGGCGGTACACCGGCGTCTCTGTTATCCTCACGTCACCTCAGCTGCCGTAGTATACGGGGGCCGGAGCTACTGGACGAACGGGCAGAGGATCTGCCTCACTAGGTCCAGGAAGACTCTCCGTCTATTACAGTGCGGGAAGCAACTATAACAGGGTTAGAAAGTATTAAGAAAAGGGGAAGGATATAGGGTGGCTCTGTACCAGCGAGCCACTAGGGAGATACAAAACTCTCTATGTCTCTACCGCGGCCGTGATTTTGACGCAAGCCTGAGTACTTCGCTACTTAGCGACATCGCCCTCTAGCGACATCGCGACGTCACCCTATGGGGATAACTCCGCCACCTAACGTGGACTTCAGCGCGGGGTTCTAGGCTAGTTGGCAGTATAGCTTTCTATTTTTCTTTGTGGTCTCTGGTAACTTGAACACGACATATGAAAGTTCCTCTGGCTTCCTGAAATCGCCAAGTTGATTACCTCAACCTACAAAGCCCTGCCACCTTCTGCAGATCAACAACTAGAGCTGTAATATCATCAACCATAGGTGAGAGGCTCTCCCACCTACGACGGGCAGACATGCAGAGAGTGTGCGCCGCTTCGCTCGGATCCCAGTCACTTGCCCTATATTGACCAATATCATCATGCTCATTAGAAGGCAATACCTTGTGGAAGTCAGATGAGTGTGCACAATTTGGACAGCCTGATTGTTGTCTATGACATCCCACACGCCATCAGTTGCACTATATTTATGCTGATGACCGCGACAAAGACTGAATGCACTGACCAGATGAGAAATGCATCGTTAGTGTCAATTTCATGCTCTGTAATTTCTGGCTCACAAGATACGCCCAAACCTGCTGCATTGATTATTCAGAGCCACGGGATGCGTTACGCACTATGCACGATGGAGTCACCAAAGGAGCGGCTCATGGCAAGTCCCATCGTGTCGCCATGGCTGTGGTGCCTACCTTGTCCTGGTCAATAATAAGCGTGTCTTGCTAGTCGCACCTCCTATACCAAACTCGGGGCGGCCCAAGCGGCAAAGTAATTGGTCCGTTGCTGCCATGCCCGACGACGAGTTGCCGGCAGCTGACTTGTCCCCCACACGCTAGAATTCTTCGTTGCTCGTCTGGTCGATCCGGCTGAGATATAAAACACGGGGTCACAAAGACAACAAGCCAAAACAGGATTTGCACTGACCTTGTGGTCGGAGGTCAGTGGAACTGCGCAAATCTTGCCACTCTCTAGGTGTCCTAGAATCCCACGAGAGTCACCAACGTTTGCAACTCTGAGGTGAGGACCGTGGATGTAGGCGAATACACATGTAGCGCCGCTGCACTTTACATCAAAATTACATTCATTGAGATCCTAATCAAAATTTAAGCTGTGTGATCAATTTGCCGACTGAGAGGATTATACCTGTTGCATCAAACGAAACGTTCGGTGCATATTCAAGTCAGATTCCCAAAAATGACCACAAAGGCGGTCCCGGCATCGCTGTGAGACTAGGTGACCAACTTCACCATGCCCATCAAGAACGGCAAAGCAGTGTTGATGCGCATTTGCTGGCACGTCCTCGGATATCACGTAAGAATCTTGGTTTTGCCATCTCGGATTTCCTGGCTTTAGCCCTGCGACTGTGCATACACCGCAAAGAGCGGTGCGATGACGTGATATAGTCAATTCGCCCCGTGGTAATGTGGCCGGTGTCGGATTTCTTAGTCTTCGATCAGGGTTAATGTTTGGCAGATTCGGAGCATTACGAGTCCCGCGGGAGTGGCGAAAGCGCCTGGTAGTTGTAGCAGACCAGTTTCTAGAATTGTTGCGAGTGTTATCATCTCGAGGGAGATTTGCCAATCTCAAAGTTTCCTGATTTGGTCGTTTCCGCAAGAAATTGGGTCTATCTTCGCTCTCTCGATGGCGTCCAGTTGTACGTCGAGGGCCGATTTCGGCCAAAAAATGTCGCGTCTCTGTCTCAGAATTTGAGCCTCGACCAGCCGTACCCACTCGACTTGTTCGATCGGCATTAGACTTAGGGGCGCGCGTAGCCAGGCCATGCTGACTCCGCCGACTAACCCTCGATGGCAGGTGCGCCGCTTCAAAGGCCATATTCGTAGCGTTAAAATACGATCTCCTGATTAATATTAGGGCGATTGCTAAGATGGAACCAATCGGATAGATTAATCGTATGATGGAACCAAGTGGTCGAGAAAAGCATGATGGAACCAATATTCATGCCTATGATGGAAACAATCTAATGCGGGTTTGTCGACGCTACCTGAACCAATACCACTCAATGGACACTTTGATCATCTCCATACCCTGGTGATTAAAAACCCGCACGCCCATTACTTAGTGCGCGTAGAAAGTTTATGAAATAGATGATGGAACCAAGACTTCGACGCGAAATACATGATGGAACCAAGACTTGCGACTCCATTTTTCACCATGTCCTCGACAAGGCTTATGGCTTGGTTCCAACATAGATTTTGCGCCATATGGTTCCAACATAGATTTGCGCCATAAATAGGAAATAAATAGGAAATAAATATCTAAATAAATGCAGATAAATATGAACGGGCAAATAAAAGAGCCGAGAATAACGGGGGCTATAAATGGGCAGCTACCCCAGCCGAGTGGGGTCCGTCTCGATATAGTGCGCGACGGCGAGGTCCGCCTTGATAGGCTTACTCTTAAGGGAGGAGCTGGTGTGGCACTTTGATGGCCCTGGCTGGGCCAGACAGCAGCCAGTTTTTCTCGTGCCTGACGGGGAAGGTACTGCCGGTCTTGTCCATGCAGTAGACGTGGATCCGTGGCCTTCCATCCGGAGGCTGGTCTGGACCAGTTCTCGCACCTGCGTGCGCCAGGTTCCTGCTGCACATCATAGCATACCCGAATGGTATTTCAATTGGCGGAGCATCGTTGGAGAAGTCCGCTGGGATGCATTGGTCCCCTTCTTTCTTACAATATTCAACTTTATGTGATCCCCGAGACACGCATAAATTCGTCCCTGCTTCTGTGACCGGGATGACGATAAGCCCAATTTCTTCTTCCTTACCTTTTTTGGCCTCATGGTCTGTATGCATTATCTGCTGGTCAACATTCTCCTCCGTAGCCAATACGACCTCTCCCATCGTACCTGTACCTGTGATGTTGCTTAAATTTGCATGTGTAGAAAGCTTAAGTTTAAGTTTGGCGTTCATCCATCGCCCACTTCGTTTTGCCTGCGCGGTCGTGTCCGTTCCGAAGTAAGTCGTCCATCCATTTCTCCTCTTCTTTTCCGCGA